GTAAATTGCTTTGAGCTCATGAGTTGGAGGCCAGCCTAAACAAGAGCGGGACCCCAACTCCAAAAAATAGCTGGGTATTCAGGTGTTGTGGTGGGAGGTTGAGGCAAAGGATTGATTGAGCCCAAGAGTTTGAGGTTATTGTGAGCTATGATGCCATGGTACTCTACCCAGGGTGTCAAAGTGAGACACTGTCTCAAAAAAAAAGGACTATTTTGTGTGTAACTCAATGTTTGAGCAGCTCCCACTCAGACAGGAGTTGGCTGTCTGGCCTTGGGCCTTCGCTGTCTCGCTGACAGCCCTACAGGGCCAGAATAAATAATCTTTTGTTGCTGTGTATTTGCTTATCATGTCTTCCCACTAAAATGTCAGCTCCATGAAGGCAGGACCTGATCTGTCTCATTTACTTCTCAGGCCCTAAAAGAAAGCTTGGCATATAATCTGTGTTTGTTGACTGACTACATGGAATATTTGCTGAATGAATGAGCTAGGTTTCCTTCCTCCTTTTCTTTCCTCCTCTGATGGAGCATTCTCCCTAAAGAATATGCTGGAGACAGAATCACACTCCTCCTGTATGTCCTGGGTACTCTTCAGTCAGGCCCTAAGTGGTGCTGGGTGCTGGAATCAAGCAAGTTCTGTGTAGTATTTTCAAACTGCAGATCACAGGCAAAATCAATTTAATCCTCTGCTGTCAGCAGTAACAAAAAGAAACAGGATAGGATAGATGAGGAAGTGTCACAATGCATCAGATGCAGTAAGGCTAAGCACTTTTTTGTAAATAATTCATATTCATAAATTTGCACAGCTGGTTGCAGTGTAAAATATATTTCTTACTTTGGGTCTTGGTTAAAAAAGTTTGATCCTTGTGTGTGAATTTGGGGAGATGGGAGATGTGATCCTTGGACTTAAAACCAGAGGAGGATATAACCAAGAAAATCAATAAGGGTGATGATAATGATGATGCTAATTACTGGACATGGATCCTGGGCCGGCAGGGCACTGGGAAGTGAGAGGGAAGAAGTCCAGTGTGGACAGAGATCCTGAGGACAGGTGAAGGAGGAGTCTAAGGCAGGCAGACTGGAGATGGAACAGGCTGGGTCACAGTGTGAGGTCTGGTGGCAATATGTGTAATAATGACAATAACAGCTGCTGTCAGTAAGCACTGACTGACTGAGTGCCAGGCACCTCTTTAATCCTCCAGACATTCCCAGGAAATGAGAACTGCTCTTAGCACCATTTTATAATTGAGGAGAGTCAGAGAAATACAGTCATTTGTAGGGAAGGGGTCACATAGTGATAAAGTTGCTATGTCTAAAGATCCAAGCCTGGGTCTGCCCTGCTCAAAGCCTATGTCTTTCTTTAAGCCTGAGATTGCACATAGAAGGGGAGGGAAGCTAGATCCTGGAGATGGGGCAGGGGCCCACAAAGGTACACAGCCAGGGCAGATGGGGGGCTCAGGCAGCCGGAAACTACCTGAGGCTCATAGACACAGGGCTTGGGGTGGCACTGAAGGTCCCAAGACCTACCCAGGACGGCCCACGTGGTCCCTGATCTTGGCAGTAAATGGTCACAGGGAGCGAAGCCAGGCTGGCCCCTGCCCTGATGCTGTCCATTCCTTGACCTTAGTGTCCCCCAGCCTGTGGCGGACTTGGCGGGAGAAAAGCAGCAGGGCCTGTTTCCCATCTTTTGTCAAGTCTCATCTTTGTTGGTTGGAACCCAGCTCCTCTGCCTTCCGGCGAGTCATTTGTGCCTGTCAGAAAATAATTCTTGGCTTGAGTATTCCTATGAGAGAGTCTGGGGTTCCCACAGCTAGTTTCTGCCCAGCAACTGAACTTGAGAGCTCTCTCCAAGAGCACCAGCATCTTGCTTGGGCTGAGGGGGGGGCCTGTGGACGGCCACAGGTGACTCTCCTGGAGCGTGAGTAATGGGGTTATTCGTTGTTCTTTGTTTCAGTAGCTCGTCTGGCTGTACACTGTGGTGGGTTGCTTTGTGTGTGCGCTACGCATATCCATGCTCACTCACATCTCCACTCACCCCCACTGGACACTTGCACAAACGTGCATCTCTGTAAACATGAGTTCACACACAAGCAACACAAGCACACGTGTTCATGTGTCCATGCAAATGTGTTCAACACAGCACACATTCGTACAGCCTACCCATGGGTCCCTGGCCTTTAGATAATAAGGTGAGATCTTGGGTGCCTATGTGTGTGTGACTGGGTGGTGGTAGTGCTGGTTGGGGGGCTACTATCCTGAGCCCTCTTTTCTCATGGGCTTTTGGACTTCTACTCTGAGCATCTGGATTTCTCAGGGAGCTTCTGCTGCAGTTTGAGAGGCTCAAATTGGCTCAACTGAGGTCACAGAGACCTTCCCTTGCAGGTACCCAGGGCTGTGCTATGTCCATCTTTCCTCCATTACTCAGCCCCTATACCCCTCCCAGGCATAGATTAGGGCAAATCTGGTCCTAAAGGCTTTCTTGTGGTTGCAGGGACACTCCCAACAACTCTCCCAGACTCCCAGGGCTACAGGACTTGCTGCTCTCAGCTGGGTCTTGGCAGACCCTCTGGGGTTCTGGGGGTGGGGTAGAGAGGCTGGGCGCTGTGGTTTGGATGCAGTCTGACCCTGAGACACTGCCAAGCCCCAAGCTCTCTACTTCTAGGGCCTGCTAGCTGAGCACTGAGGCTGTCAGAGCCATAAGGGTGGTGATTGCTGGCTCTTCTGAGGATATCCCTGCTCTGGGCTTCTTTGTTTGGTTCAATAAGAACACCTACTGTGTGCATGGGAAACACAAATGAATGAATGAAGATGTGCCAGGTACTGTGCAGGGGACCAAGCACATATGTGTGCATGCAAACGTGTTGACACAGCATACATTTGTACAGACCACCCACAGGTCCCTGGCCTTCTTTAGATGATAAGGTGGTATCTTGGGTGCTTGTATATGTGGTGTCTTGGGTGGTGGTAGTGCTGTATGGGGCCATCCAGGGGTTCCTGTGTACTTGGTGAATGTAAATGAACGAAGGAAGACAGGTTAGACTTGGCTTTTGTCCTCTAGAAGTCCAGCATGGGCTGGATGGTAAGGGTGCATGAGAGTGTGTGTGTGTGTGCCCCTACCTTTGTCTTGGCCCGGAGGAGGGTATTATCCTGGCATACATCCTTACGATGGCAGGGTTGCAGTTGGGGAGTCTGACAGGGATTCAGGGTTGTGGTAAAAGGAAAGGACCATGTCAAGGGTGGAGCCCTACAGTGTGCCACACACTATACCTGATCATCCCTTGCCCAGCTCATGGGCTCCTTGAACACCCCTTTGAAGCAGAATAGGGCCATCTGACGGATACAGAACTTGGGGATCAGAGATCTTATGGAGCCTACCTCGGCTGGACTGTGAAGGTCAGGGCTGCTTCTTAAGGCCACTCCTGAACTTTGCTGCTCTCCTCCTGGAGCCTCTGGTGTGGGGCAGGAGCAGTCCTGAAGCCCAGAGTGTCTTCCTTGGGCCTCAGTTTCCTCATGCATGAAAATGGGGATCATAAAACCATCTTGAGATCATAAAAGCACTTGAGACCTATGAGCTAAGCACCTGGTAAGAACACCACAAATGAGTCACTTCTCTTGTCTTTAGTTCTCTCCTGACCACGGGGACTACGTGCCCCTTTCCCAGCCCAGCGCCCTCCAACCTGACTGTGGGCAGAGCTGGGGCCTGTGCTGCCTTCATCCTGGGGTGTCTTGGGCTCGCTGCTCAGGCCCTGATTGGGGACCAGGAAGGTAGCAACAGGTAGGAAGGATTTCCCGAGTGTGGAGCAGAGAGAGGGAGGAAGTGACTCACCCAAAACAGCAAAGCCGGTCTCTCTGCGAGGAAGCCTCGGCAAGAGAGTGAGCGCATGTGGGGAGTCGCTGGGGCTTTCGAGCTGAGAGCCTGTGGAGCCAAGGGGGCGTCCAGGTGGGCGCGGCTGGCTGACAGGGGTGCTAGACCTGTGGTGTGGGAGGCATGGGCAAGCCCTCTGGTGCCGGTCACCGCGGGAGCCAGGGAGTGGTGGCAAAGGGCCCCGTCCCTCCAAAGTTCCTGCTCTGTAGGTTCCCTTTAGCCTCTGGGGGCTCAGAGGCGCATCTCCCTGGGAGATTAGGCACTCTACGCTCTGGGTGCTCGCTCTTCGACACCTGGGAGGCTGAAGCCCAGAGAGTGCGATCTCCTCACTCAGGCCCCTCAGCAAGGCGAGGCGAGTGAGCCCGGACACTCATCTCGGTCCCGCTGAAGCTCGGCCAGGCCATAAAAGCAGAGAGGGGCGAGGGAAGTCCCGGCGGCCCGTCGGGTCTCACCGGGAGGTGGGGAATGAGGGGGTGTGGCTCCGAGAGCATTTGCTGGTTTCTTCTGTCGGGGTGGGGGCTGGATGTCCGATTTGGGTGTCTTCCAGAAGGAGCCAAGCTAACGACTAGGAAAGAGGAACTGGCTTCCCGGGCAGTCTACCCCTGTCCCCAACTTTTCCTCCTTACGAGGGGTGAGGGGGTGGAAGGAAGAAGCGTGGCCCAGGAAGGTGGGGCCTGC